AAGTTTTTAAACTTGCCCGAAAGGCTTGAAGAGTGGACGCTAATCCAATTCCTTTAGGGATGGTGTTCCAGAGCTGAGGAGCCACCACTGAGAAGGCCCTCTCTCTCGTCCTGACCAACCATACTTGATACGGTGGTGGGACTGAGAGAAGAGCTAGAGAGCATCTGGTAAGAACTGTGCCGTTCTGTTGTGCCATCTCCAGCAGAAGGCACACTGGGTACAGTGTACATAACAGAAAGGATACACAATACAGTTTAATCTTAAAAGGCAAGTCAAGATTTTCTCCTCTGCTCAGTAGGTATTAAAACTGCTTCTGCAGACTAAATGGTGCATTTGTATGTAGATATTTGACATTCATTATATACTACCTTTAGTAACACGTGAAAGAAATGTGTTAAAGATAAAATAGAATTAATCAAGTAATAAGTATTGACACATATAAAGCCCTGAGTTCATTATGCTGTAATGGATAAAACACGTCTACATGTGATGGGGAGGACTTGCATAAACTAAGGTTTTAATCTTCATAATATAAGAACATTTGTGTCGTCACATCGAAAGCATCAATATTTGCAGATTTTTTTGGTGCCACCTCTGCTGGTACTCTACATAAGGACTACAAAACTGGTAAGACTAAGGGAGCCCATGAACACACAACAAGGCTTATACTCCCCTATTAAAATATGGGACAGCTGTGTCACTAGAGGCCATCTTTGCCTGCATCCTCCCTCCTTTACCTGCAAGCTGGACCACGGAGGCCAGTGCTGCTGCTGATCCAGTGGCCTCTTTGTGAGAAAGGGACAGGTCCATAGAGACTACCATCTCAATCCACAATCTAAGCCAATTATATCAAAGAGGAAAAGCAGGCCTTGTGCTGTTGATAGTCCCCAAACTACCTGGGCAAAATACAGAAACACAGTGCAGGAGAGCCTGCCAGCAAATGGTTCTGTGTTTTGCCCTGGTCACATTGCTTCTGGAAAAAACAGAAAAAAAAAAAACAGAGTAAAGTGAAGCAGTCTTGCATCACGTTTTTTCTGGTTTCCTAGAATGAAGCAAAACACAGTAATAAATCCTTTAAGCCAAGCCCTTTATTTTTCTCTCCCCCCACCCCCCAAACTACCTTGAAGCAGCAAGAGTGAGAAATTGAAAAAACAAAGGGGAGCGTTTTGGCTTAGAGAATTTATTGCTGTGTTTTGCAGACCCACCTGCTTCATTGTGGGAAAACAGAAAAAGATACAGACAAAACAGGTATGGTTTGGTTTGCCACCATGCACTAGAAAATAGGGGAAGGGGCTGTTCAGCGTGGTGAGGCTTAAGCTTCATTATTTTCCATAGGGGACCTTACACCCCTAACCCCTGTGAAAATAGAGGCCTGACTTTACTAGTTACGTTACACCTTTTTAGAATGAGAATGTTTTTGAATATTTTCCCTGCATGAAAACATATGCACAGACATTGTGAGCAAAAGTATCATGGAAATATATGATAATCCCCACATCATCACAAAGGAAGACTGAAAGAGAGAGTGCTGAATTACATTATATCCACAAATTCCAATCCATTAGCACATATATGAATAAAGACAATGACTTCATGACACATTCTACCTCATCAGACAGGCTAAATTGGGTGGTGTATGCTGGTTCCTCTTCACTTTTGCTATGGAGCCCGCCGGCTCCCTTCCCATGATGTACATCTACTTTTAGCAGGGCTACATGGCAAAACCAAAGAGGAAATGGCATATGGTAGCAAGGGAGTCTTCCTGTGTTGCATTAGGATCAACAAGCAGAAGATGGGAGGCGGATGCTTTCTCTGTGGATGGAGTAAGGAAGCCGGGCAATGCAGGGCGTGGGGCAACAAGTTCCCCACCCCCACACTGGGTACCACCGGATTCAACACGATTCATGGCAATTCCAGCAGCTAATGTGATGAGGTCCATTATAAATCCAAGAGGCATAATCTCTGTACATATATAAGACAAGGAATCTCTCAGAGTTTTGAACCCCTATTCCAACTGACTTTTGGTAAGCAGATTTATTGCTTTCACGCTCCAATACAAATTGAACCCTGCAAAGGTTTGAAAAAAACCCCTGTACTGCTTCTGAACCCCTTTGAAAATTAAGACAAGGGTCAAGGTTTGCATCTTTCTGGATCCTCTTATGTTTTACCCAAGTCCCACAATTGAATACATTTTTTTTTTACATCTGAGACCTAATAGTACTGCATCTAAAGAAGTGGCTTTATGACCATGAAAACTCATGCAAAAATAAAAACCAGTTAGACTGAAAGGAACAGCCACATTTCCTTTTCTTTTTTCCGTGGCCCTTCATGAATCATAGAACTGGAAGACAGTTCAAGGACCATCCAGTCCAACCCCTGCCATGCAGCTATACACAATCAAATTAATCTTAATGTTTGACCATTTAACCTCTGTTTAAAAACCTTTAAAAGAAATTTCATCACACCCCCAAGCGTATTTTACTGCCAAACAGCTCTCAATATCCGGGAGATCTTTCTAAGTGTAGTTTGAATCCATTGCTCTAGTCTTTGGAGTAGCAGAAAACAAGCTTGTTCTATCTTCAATATGACATTTGTTCAAATATGGCTTTTACGTCATCTCTTAACTATATTTTTTCCCAGGCTAAACATATCCATCTCCCAAACTGTTCCTCATAGGGCATGTTTTCCAGGTACACTATCATTTTGGTTGTGTTCTTCTGGAAACATTTGAGCTTTATCATATCCTTCTTGAATGGTGATGTCCATTCAAGGATAAAGTATTTCAGATAAGCAGAATAGGGTGTTATTATTACTATACCCCTGTTGATGTACCCTAGAATCACAATGATTTTTTAGCTGTTGCATCAACTGTTGGTTCATGTTCAGCTTGTGATTTAATAAGGATCTCATCACAAAGGCGCATGGATTCACTATGCATCGTGGTGAGTCCATGGGGGTCCTGGCAGGGAGCATGGTGAACTCATTGCTCCACATCCCGCATTGTGTGATTTACCTGGGATCCCATCACATGGTGGGAAGCATCACTGCCTGGTTTCCCCTCATTGCTGATAAAACAACATGGGAAGACTCCCATGTTGCCGCACCAATATACACTGCTTTTATGACAGAGGTCGTCCGAGAGTACACATGCATCGTGCAATGGGCTTCGTCTTGAAAGGAGAGAACAAGTGGCATATGACGGGCCACGTAGCCCATCTGATGAGGTAGTTAGACTCCAAGATCCCTTTCACACATGCTGTTGTCAAGCCAGGTATCATTGATCCTATACCTGTGCATTTCAATTTTCCTGCTTAAGTGTAATACCTTACATTTCTCCCTGTTGGAATTCATTGTCAGTTATGGCTCATCTTTCCAATCTATTAAGGTAATTTTGAATTCTGATCATGTCATTTAGAGTATTCATTACTCATATTTTTGTGCCATTTGAAAATTTGATAAACAGGCTCTCTGTGGCATTATCCCAGTCATTTATAAATGCGATGAGTTGTACTGGCCCAAGCACAGAAAGGAAGCACTTCCTCCTCCTTTTATATGGCACATGACCAGGTGTTACATATGGTCAGGTTGTGTTTGTGTTGTAGTGTAAGTAAAACATTCAAAATGATTGTTTACCAACTTACTGTTTGATTCCAATTCTACAGCCTGTACTCATTCCACAGAAAACACAGAATGATTAAAATAAAGCAACTACAGTGTCAAGTCAAAAACAAGAATCCTAGTGAAATTGGAGCAAATAGTGTCGGAATAGGCTTGTGTGTGTGTGTGTGTGTGTGTATGGATTGTTGTGGAAACAAGGATTGGTGAGGAAGCTTCAGTGGAGACACTCCCCCCCCCCATGATAATTCATAAAAAAGGTAAAGGTAGTCCCCTGACATCAAGTCCAGTCATGTCTGACTCTGGGGTGTGGTGCTCATCTCCATTTCTAAGCCGAAGAGCCAGCGCTGTCCGTAGACACCTCCAAGGTCATGTGGCCGGCATGACTGCATGGAGCACCGTTACCTTCCCGCCGGAGCGGTACCTATTGATCTACTCACATTTGCATGTTTTCGAACTGCTAGGTTGGCAGAAGCTAGGGCTGACAGCGGAAGCTCACGCCGCTCCCCGGAATTGAACCTGCGACCTTTCGATCAACAAGCTCAGAAGCTCAGTGCTTTAACCCACTGTGCCACCGGGGGCTCCATGATAATTCATAAAGGAGTGAATTTTCCTTCTTAAGAGAAGAATCCCTTTCACTTCCTGATTGCACTTTTCTGTCATGTTACGCAGTGAACACTTCTAGTTAAGAACCACTGTTCTGAACAAGAAATTGGATATAAGTCAAATGTTTGTAACTCGGGGACTGCCTGCACTAAACACGGGGAAAAACATTGACCCATCTAGCAGTACATTTGGCCTCACTGTGAGTTCATATACAGAGTTCAGCTGTGGAGCTTGCTAGATGGCTTTGGGCTATCCCTGTCTTTTTGTGTTGATTCAGTCTTCTTCAAAATGGGAACAATAGCAACAGAGTTTTCAGGAAAAACAAAGGTCATCACACTGATCCATAACAAAAACACGCACACAGATGTGACAAAACCATTTGTAGGTTTCATGTGTTTACAGTACTAACAAAGAACAATCACTGAAGTTCAGTGGCAGAATATGTGTTTTGCATGTTTAATAAAGAACTTGGAAGTTATATGTAACACAGGTGACTATAATGAGCTCTTTTTCTTAACAGTAGTAAGTACATAATGAAATTGTATTTCAAGCGTAATGGGAACAGGGGAATTTTACTAGTATAACATGTCCCCCGGTTATTTTCGTTGTTACCTTTAAAAATTATTTTATACTTGTGATTGTACAAATTTTGAAATGCTGTGTACAAATCTTTCACAACACAGACATATACAATAGGTTCACTGGTTCAAAAGAGAAAAAGAAGGATTCCTGAATCACAGTTGTCTGTATTCTAAAACAAACAGGTTGTTACTTCTTACCCCAGATGGATATCTATGTTTCCTGTGCAGCATCAGACAAGATGGCTGCAGTGGCCCCTATGTATTTATTTCCAGGTCATCCCTCCAGGCCTCTATCTTTACTGTCAAAACCAGTCTCTGGTCTGTACAACTGCAGGTGGGTAAAAAAAAACAGGAAAAACAACCCATGAGTGAACATATGGGTACAGTTACAGTATGTCTTGTTTCTATTGTTTCTGTGGGTGACATGTGGTTTGACAATAGTCCATGTGAAAAGGCTCTTGGAGTCTTAGAAGACAACAAGTTGAACATGAGTCAACAGTGTGATGGAGCAACTAAAAAGGAAATGGGATTTTGGGCTGCATTGAAAGGAATATAGCGTCTAGAGCAGAGCTTTCCATACATTTCATTTTGGTGACACACTTTTGAAACATGCAGCATTCCACAATGCAGTAATCCATTTTTACTAGCAAACTGGAAATAAACCAACCCCTTGTAAGAGATACAGATGCATACATAAATTATAATAAGGAAATTTATGAGGACTTAACACATCCCATGAAAACCTTTCATTAACATTTTTAAAAATACACTAGCTGTGCCCTGCCACGCGTTGCTGTGGCCTATAGTAAAACTTATCAAAGTTGAGGTAGATATCTGGACTATTATGAAAGAGAGGTACCTACCTATTCCCTCCCCCTTTTCCTCCCCCTTTCTCTCCTTTCTTCCTTCTCTACCTCTTTCTTTCTTTCCTTCTTTCACTACTTGGTTTCATCCTTCTCTCTTTCCTTCATTCCCTCCCCCTTTCTTCCTTTGCATTTCTTCCCTCCCTGTTTGCTTCCTTCTTTCACTTTTTATTTCCTTTTATTTCACCACCATCATAACAATAACAATAATGCAATGCATTGCCTCTGGGACCTGACACCTCTCCCATTCCCCCAGGGTCTAATAGGAATAATAACATAATAATAATAATAGAAATAACAACCTTTACCCGCCACGCGTTGCTGTGGCCAACCTTCCCTCTTTCTCTCCTTCTTTCCCTCCTTCCTTCCCTCCCATCTTTCCTTCTCCTCTTCCTTCTCTATCTCTTTCCTTCCTTCCCCCTTTTTCTTTCTCTTCTGCTGTCTCTCTTTCTTCCTTCTCTCTTTCCTTCTTTCCTTTTCTTCTCTCCTTCTTTCTCTAACTTTCCTTCCTTCCCCCTTTTTTCTTTACCTCCCTTTTTCTTTCTTCCTTCTTTCCTTTTCCCTTTTTTTTTTTAGATTTTGACAGGGCGGGGGGGGGGGGGGGTTTGGAGGTGGCGTGAAGTAAAAGGAGGTAAGATTGGGGTGGGGGAGTGATGGAGCGTGGGGTTGCGTGTGTGTGTGCGGCGGCGGGGGGGAGTGATGGAGCGTGGGGTTGTGTGTGTGTGTGCGGCGGCGGGGGGAGTGGGGTTGCGTGGGGGTGCGGCAGGGGAGTGATGGAGCATGGGGTTGTGTGTGTGTGTGTGCGGCGGGGGGAGTGGGGTGGGTGTGTGTGTGTGCGGCGGCGGGGGAGTGATGGAGCGTGGGGTTGCATGTGTGTGTGCGGCAGGGTGTGTGTGTGTGCGGGAAGCGGCGCGGCGGGGCTTGGAGTGGGCATGGTTTCCGCAGAGGGAACATTGGCCGGAAGGCATGTGCGCGCGCCAGGGAACTTGCGGCTGGGCGCCAATGCGCATGCTCAGTTGTTTTGCCATTTTGTGAGTGTGTTGTTGTGTTGTTTTTCATTTTGAGTAGATATGTTTGTACCTTGTAGGTTGTGTTATGGGCATGGGAATTTTGGTTAAGTTTTGTTGGGGTTTTTTTAGTTTTGTTGTTTTGCCGTTTTGTGAGTGTGTTGTTGTGTTGTTTTTCATTTTGAGTAGATATGTTTGTACCTTGTGGGTTGTGTTATGGGCATGGGAATTTTGGTTAAGTTTCGTTGGGGGGTTTTGAGTTTTGTTTCTCCGTTGGATGCCCCTAACAAATTTATATATATAGATGAAAATAGATATTAACTTCCATTTTCCAGATTGTTGTCATTTCTTGTTAAGTTCGTGCTTACTTACACACTGCAGATGACATGCTGATATTTTGCGACACACAGTTTGGAATGCTGTGAAATAATGGACACTCAACTGGTATCCATAGCATAAATGCCTAAAGACCCCAGATTCTGACAGATCCTGGAAGCTAAGCAGGGTCAGCCTTGCTTGTTACTTGGATGGGAAAGTGCTAAGGAATACTAGGTGCTGTGGTCTGTATTATAGCAGAAGGAACTGCCAAAAAACTTCCAAGCATTCCTTGCCTAAGAAAAAGTGATGGCACTCATGGGATCATCATAAAAATCATCATGAAAGTTTTTCATTCAAATTTGTAAAAATATATGATTTTTTGGTTATTTCACATTGACCAGCGATTTCTCATTGGATTTGCACTGTGGCTGATACAACAGTATGTCACAACGCAAAGTTTGGAAAGCTCTTGTCTACATCAAGAGAAGTCAAGATTTGATCAGACCTTAGTTGGAATACTGTGTCCAATTCAAGAGAGATATTGACAAGCTGGAACACTTCCAGAGGGGGGCAACTGCAATGATCAAAGGTCTGGTGAGCATACCCTATGAGGTCTGGCTGAAAGAGCAGGGAATATTTAGCTTGCCGAAGGGAAGGTTGAGAGAGGACATCACAGCCATGTATAAATATTCCAAAGCCTCTCATAAGAAGGAGCAGGCTTGTTTTCTGCAGCCCTGGATAGTAGGACTTAGAGCAATGGTTTCAAATTACAGAAAAGAGGATTCCACCTGAACATTAGGAAGAACTTCCTGACCATAAGAGCTATTCAAATGTGGAACTATCTGCCTCAGAATATCATGGAGGCTTCTTCTTTGGAGGTTATTAAACAGAGGCTGGATGGATGACCATCTGCCAGGGGTGCTTTGATTGAGCTTTTCCTGCATGGCAGAGGGTTGGAGTGGATAGCTCATGTCTTTTCTAACTGTATGCATCAAGAGATTTAAAGGTCTTCATCTGATGGAAGAGGTGTAATTCCTTAGACAGTATGGATCTACTTAAAGTTGCCGGTGATTGTTGTGTGGTGCACTTAATTAAAATGTTTATGAGTTTGATAACAGATAGTAATACAATTAGTATTAACACCACTACTAAACATTATTGAACACTGTAAAATGTTATTTCAAGGTGAGTGTTGATCAACAAAAGACAATTAATTTGGGTGACATCACATCACAGATGATAGAAATCATCAGTATATCATAAAATGTTTTGTTTTGATTTGTATCTTTAGGGGCTAATAGAGGAAATAAAAATAAATCATTGTCTACTCAATGGACACAAAGTCAATTAGGGTAGAAAACATACAAATAAACTAGAATTTTAAGTCAATGAGTTAATTAATGATTTTTTTTCCCCAGTAGAACAACATTGCAACCATCCTTTTACAAAATGAAAGCAATTATATTTGATCATCTCTTATTGGAAGGAAACCCATAACCAAAGTTCTCATGAGCAGTAGAGTCCTCTTCCTGTCCCTTGGTGATCCAAGCACTCTGAGTAAAGTCTAATATAATGATGGGGATACTTTTTCAAGGCACGTGTTGCTATCTTCTTGTTCTTTAGGCCATGGCAGTCTTCTTCATGTAGATCAGTGGTTCTCAATCTGTGGGTCCCCAGATGTTTTGGTCTACAACCCCCAGAAATCCCAGCCAGTTTACCAGCTGTTAGGATTTCTGGGAGTTGAAGGCCAAAACATCTGGGGACCCACAGGTTGAGAACCACTGATGGAGATGAAACTTTCAAGGCCTTGGTTAGACAGAGGTGAATGTAGTATTTCCTGTGCACCATCAGTCCTACATTTAAAGAAACAAGACCATGCCTTTCCATATTTTGAAAAACCTTTCCACTGCCTTCTCACTGTACTGCAGCTCCCAAACTGTGATCATATTCAATTTTATCCCACTTTTTTTGAAATCTAAGCTTTAATGATTGTGAAGAAAAAGTGATTTAATTGGACCATAAGCCTAGTCGATGATACAGTCCTCAATTGATTTTTTAAAGACAATTTTCTTGATTTAGGAGCTATGTATCAAAAGGACTTGCATTCTCATAAACCACAACAGTTCAGACTATAAGGTCCTAATCAGAGAAGTAATTTTTTTTAGTGCATTGTAAAGTCATTTCATTGACTACAGTGCAAGCTGCAATCTATAGACAAGGAACGCACTATAATTATGAAGTCTCTCTGAAACATTGTTTGCATTTCCACTCCACAATTCAATGGAAAGGTGTTTCATTTCTTTATCTTAATGTTATTTGCAGTCTTTTCCAGGGCTGCACTGGAACAATGCCTAGAGCTCAAGAAAGCATTTGTTCCTTTAAGAGATTTAGTATTGTCTGGAGTCAGGACAACTCGCCATTTAATCCATTTTTCCCTTCAGAAGAATAGGGTCTCTGTTCACCAAAGTTATCAAGCAGAACTGTACACAGTTTGTCAGGCACAATATAGTGAGGTAGCTTTTGGTATCTCATGTCCATAAGTAATGTTTAAACTTCTCTGGTAAGTTCCTGTTTATAACGTGACTGCAAAAATGAATGAGAGTGGTTTGCGTACATAGAGAAATGCCTCCTTTCCCCACCATATTGTAAAACTCAACTGTAGATCTGCATGCCCCCCCCCCCAAACACCCTTAACAGCATGACTTGGATCAATTAGGTTGGTGAAATATTCACCATTAGTTTTTGCATTACCCAGGAGAACCCAAACTGTTACGTAAAGTTGCATTGGTGTGTTTTGTTTATATGGATTTAATGTCAGCTGTCTAACTACTGCTGCTACTACTACTACTACTACTACTACTTTATTCTTGTATCCTGCCTCCATCTTCCCGAAGGGACTTGGGGCGGCTCACATGGGGACCAAGCTCAATATAAATAAGGTTACAAAGAACACAATTAAAAATGATACAGTAAAGTATATAAGAACAGTAAAACCAATAAAATGTAAGACATCATAAAACATAAACTAAACATTAAACAACCAGAAGGTGAGAAAAGTAGGCATGTGCAGATTTGAGACTAATAATACAGAACAAGTGCTTGTGCAAATGTAAACTGTAGGCTGGGGCTCGGAGTAAAGT